TTGTTTATTTTTTATTAGATTTTCCAGTTGTGATAAATCTCTGCACATTGCAGTCCCTAATTGTCTCTCCGTAGCTGAGAGAAGTGGCAGGTGGTGTGATTTCTGTGCAGCTTTAGTCCATTTCTTTCCGGCTGAATCAGTCATACTTTTAGAGATGATCTCTTTCCACTGGATGTAACCAGGGATTATTTGAGCTACTTAGCCATGTCTAGATGTCTAAATGCATTATGCTGCTGGAAGTCATTTTGTTTTTCCCATGTCAAGTTTTTAAAGGACAAGTCTTTTTTTTTTCAATTTTTGGCTTAAGTTCAATACGGTGAGGGCCCTTATTTTCTATTTTTATTTCAAATAGAGGTATTATCAGGTTAATAGCTCTAATTTATATATTCAGAGAAGAAATAAGTGTTAATCCATCATGCATGTATTTGATGCAATCTCATAGCATCCCCCACCTTCTCCTGGTTGATTTCTGAACCAATCCTGTATCAGCGCCTCGACTAAGCAGCCTGCTAGAAGTGTGAGTTACAATGACAAACACAGCAAGGAGTCTGTGCCTTTTCTGCCTCCCACCGAGCTCTTTTCTGCACAATATAATGCCTCTATAAATCTCATTGAATAGCCATCTGAACCCAAGACGTAATGCCACTTTAAGGGTCAGACATTGAAAGAGCTAAATTTCATGGTTCGGCAGGGTGTGGGGACATTTATCGGGTCCAATAGAACGTTTTTTTGTCTTGCTCCAAAGTGCTAACATGTGATGTACATCTAAGACATTTTTTGAATCACAAAGACTAATTAAATGGGTAATATTTAAAGTACAAATGAAGGAAATCTTTAAATCAGAATCAGTAGTTTAAACTGCAAAAAAAGGGATAATCTGTTTTGACTTGGAAAAGCCTGATCTCTTCTTCTGCCCATGATACAAGCTAAACACTAAATATTAGACAAGTAGATTAGCATGGATTGATTACATGATGTCTGGTGCGACACATGGAGCTGGCAAAAACTAAGAATTCACGCTGTTCCCTTTCCTCTGAACTCTATATGACCCAGCTCAGTTTTTCAGCATCTCTGTTACATCTTGTCTCTTCCTGAACAGATGCAGTTTTTAACAGGGAGTCTCCGGAGAGGTTTAGAAGGTTAATGAATCTGTAGCTTCAGGCAATATTGCAGCAGGTTCAGAGTTCACAGATACAGGGAGCAGTAGACCCTTACCTGAACAAGCAGATGGGTCCTCTTAGATAGCTATGAGCTCTAAAAGGCGGGATAAAGGGTCTCATCATGAGAGTCTGTTCTAATGAGGTCGGAAAAGATGTATTTATTGAACATTTATCACATCTTTTTTATTGGTTTATATCTGAGATAATTAATTGTCTTTTGGCTTTTAAAGATAATTGTTGAAAATGTGAGATTATTTTATATTGATTACTGTCTTTATAAATCTTCCCTTTTGCATTTCTGTAAATCTTAGGGATCCATCTGAAAAGCATAATTGTTGTATATCTTTATTTGCATTTAAAAGACCTTAAGATTTGCATAAGGATGATTCCTGCTGCATGTTTAGCTGCTCTGCATGCTCTTCCTGTTAGGAATGAGAGGAATGACTGAGGGGGGGGGAGTCAGAGACATTGACTGGAGCCAAATAAAACAAAGGGTATGTGAGAGTTAAGCATAACGTTAATATTTATTAAGAGCTGCACCATCAATCATTGCAGAGATTTGTATTTTCTAGTTCTGTGTTGCTTTGCACTGTGTGATTTATCGGTTAAATAATGAAAAAAGTTGTTTTTGGTGGTTTTTCTGCTCGATAAAAGCATCCATCTTAAAAGGGCCGCCCTTTCCGGTCATAAACACAACATCAACAGGTCAACATTTATTTAGATGGACACTAATTGTTTCTATTTAACAGTAATGAGATAACCATTAGGGCTAAATGCTTTGAATCTTAAATTTAAATAACTTCTGTTACTAATAATCTGCAGCTCATATTTATTTTCTTTGTTTGCTTTAGGTAATCCTTATCAAAATAATTGCATCGGTCAAAAGGACATTATCAGCACAGCTCTAGAGACATTAGTTAAGGCAGCAGAGGAAGCCGTTCACATTTTATCATTCAATTCAGTTTATTTCTATAGCGACAATTTACAACACGTCATCTCAAGGCACTTTACAGTTCAACCAGATCATCCAGTCAAATTGATTCAAAGTTTTCTAATGAAAACCAGTTGATTATATGGACTAATTGACTCGGATGCAATTCCTCACACTACGCATGCTTGTAGTGACAGGGAGAGGAAAAGCTCCCTTTTAACAGGAAGAGACCTCCAGTAGAACCAAGGCTCAGTGTGAGCGGCCATCTGCCGAGGCCGCCTGGGGTTCAAGGAGACAGAAGCAGAGATACAAAAGGCAGCTGTAAAAGGCGGTCCCATCCAGGAAACACACAGCCAGGCAGATGAGCTCCGAGCCAGCTCCCATGTCAGAGGATGAAGAGAGCACATCCAGTCAGTCACAGTCAGAGAAACGGGACTACACTGAAAAACAGGCCGACCTCCAACATCTATAAACAAAGGTGTTGTAGGAGCACAGCTGATATTTCTCTCCAGGATGGAGTCACAGCCAAACAGGAACAGACTAGATGAAGCTACCATGAGGAAAAGCAGAGAGAGCAGAATGTTAGAATTTGAACTAACAGATTCTGCAGAATGGGAGAATAGAGATAGAATGATGAAATGGGGGTCCCTATGTCCTCCAGCAGTCTAAGCCTATAGCAGCATAACTATAGAGATAGCTCTAGATACATAAGATTCAGAGATTCAGATACATAAAGTTCTGCTCCTCTGACTCTGATCAAAGTATCTGCAGGTTGGAGAGAGGTCGGGAATCTATTTTTAAATAATATATATTCAGTCAGATTGTGTGTTTAAAAAAAACAACAAAAACGCAGTGGGAGTCTGTCTGGCCGGGCGACCAGGACACACGGCCACACCCTGTGCTGTTTAGGATTTATTGGCTACTGTAAATATTTGAATGAGATCACATGGGAGTGATTGCAGTGATGCCAGAGACGTCACATGCTCCTCAGTGTTTATGTTTTAACGTCGACCACCTATTGCTCATGGGCAGGCAGCAGATAGTGGTGAATTATCATGGAAACAGGCTCTGTTCTGTTCATTCAGCTGAAGCTGTGTGGTCTTCACACCATATTTTTAGCTTAATAAAAAAAAAAAAAAAAAAAAACAGTTTTCTGCTTCTAAGCAGGGAGTATAACTTTACTGTAAGTTTACAGATGGAAAATTGTGCTCTATTATTTATCTGTTAGCTTAATCACTTTGAAAAGAGTGGCTAAAAAGTGGGGAGTGTTGGCCTAGTGGTTAGAGCAGTGCTCTTGTGCTCTGAGAAAGTTACAATAACCCGATTCAATTCACACAGCCTGCACTCTGAGTCCCTGAGCAAGAATCTTAACCCCACACTGCTCCTCGGGTGACGCACAATGGCCGACCACTGCTCCCCAAGGAGATGGGTTAAATGTGAGATCAATAAAGTTCAATCATTATTATTAAGATTTACATTTATTGTGCTGCCTTAAATAACTTTTTAGGGTTACTTTTAAAATCTAGCCAGCTAGTTAATACTTTGAATCCGAATTTCGTAACTATTATTGTGACACATCAAGTTCAGCCATGAACTGTAACCAACATTGATCAAAAAGTGGAGGCTCCTTATTAGTGGTTGTAGTTTTTAATCTAAACAAAAAACTTGAAAAATGAATAACAATTTCTTTATATATATA